AAAAAAAAAAAAAGAAAACGTCGTGAATATCGAATTACTGAAAAAGAAGAGGGAAGAGAAATTCTAAAATTGAAGCACCGTGTCGAATCATCGCTGCGACTTCTCCATCAGCGAAACTTTCTCGACGATGCCTACCGCAGCCTCTGCACAAGCATCGAAATCTCCAGCACGGAAGAAGAACCGGGAGCTGTCGGTCCAACTATGAGAACAGCCATACCTCGTAGTGAATTCACCACCCGTCACTACGCATTATCGCATCGCATGAACGGCTGACAGATCACAGTGGATACTCGACGAAATGACTTGCAGCCTACACACATTTACGAAACGTGGCTGAAGGGCACTCGACCGTTTTCGAGACAGAGAGAGAGAGAGAGAGAGAGAGAGAATGAGAAAGAGAGGGGGGAAGGGGGAGAACCACTTCGACGTTCTAACGCAATGTTCTCTCTTTTTCTCTCTCTTTCTCTCGAAGGAATAAAAATCGTTTAGGGAGAGGTGTGTCGTTCCATCGAAACGAAGAATACTGGAAGATATTATTCGTGATGTATAATTATCGTCGTGTGCGTAATCATCTTGAAATAACGGGTTGGAGTTTGGATTTTTTTTTTGTCAGTCTGTGTTTCAGAGATACACAGAGTGTACGGGTTTCTTGTATTGGGCTAATGATAGACGGCTAACCGTTGCACTCCTGGGGACAAACTTCTGTTTGTCGCAGAGGAGGATCGAATTCTTTGCTCCAACGTTTGGATCTACGGTAAGTATTCAGATGTTTCTAATGGATTTATAGTTCGATACGTTTCTCGTGATGATCCTGTTTATAAATAATATATTGTTAGTCGTAGATTGGGATACGTGAAAGGTGTTTACATACGTGCAGCTGGATGAAATTTCTTTTAAAGAAGCGGAAGGACTACGGTAGCCAAGAGAGAGGATTGTGCTAAGTCAAAAAATCAACATTAAGGCGCGGGGTCCGCGTCTTGAATAGAATTTTTTGTTTGGAATAAGTATTACTATTACAGATATATATCTCATCGAAAAGGTATAAAGGTATTTCACAATCGTTTTAAAATTTATAAACTGTATTTAAATAAGAAGCAATGTAAAACATGCAAGAGATATGTTAAGACTCTTTACAAAATTCGAAAATATTTTACGAAATGCATGATTTCATTCTTTCATCGACGACAAATTCTCCGAACTTTATTCCAAAGGAAAGTGAATTTAAATTTCTGATGATCAAACTTTGCTCTCTCTCTCTCTCTCTCTTTTGTAAATAGAAACATCTCCATGAGATTTCTTTTTTTAAAAATCTCGCGTCAAAGAGATTCGCAAATTCAAAGTATCGGTCGATATTTCCAAAATTCTTAATTCATAATGAAAAAATTAATTTTCAACTCTCTTCGCCTCAATCGTTTCAAATTTTCAATTCGAGCGAAATAGTAGAACTCGATCGATACATTTCTGAAAAAACGATACTTCTCAATTACCGAGAACAAACATCCAATCTTTGTTTCAGACTCGAGAAGAATGGAAACAAGTAGGTGGACAGTAGAAGCAGCGAAACAAAGTTTTGAAATTCGAAGAAACCCCTCGAAGAGTTTCTCGAAGTCGTCTCGTTGGCGCGGAGGAGGAAGAATGTCGGGAAGAATTATCACCGGCGCGCATCAGGAAGTGTCCCATTACATTCGTGGCGGCACGCCGATTTTTCTCTTTCCATGTTTCGGAACGATCGATCGTCACCACGGTGGCGCGACTTCTTTTCGGTACGTACAGGCCGAGCATAGACCCTGCAGGGATATTAATATTCCGATAACGTGTCCGGATATATATTAACCGTCTTTGTTCCTTCCAGACTTCTTTCCTCTTTCTCTTCTGTCCCCGCGACACAAGATGAACGTTCTCGAGATAAGAAGAGGAGTTCCACGAAGACTTACCTTCCACTTTATTATTCCTCCCCGTGCTCATAGTTTCTGGCCCGCGGCTCGCTTTTGCCCCCGACCTTGCAACTATTATTACAGGACGTGGCGAGTTTCACGATGCAACGAACGTGAAACGAGCCACGCGTTTCGCTTCGAATCTTTGTAACTTTCGACCACTTGGCATTCGTTGCCAACGTCGAAACAACCGTTTCCGTCGGTAAGATAAGATGGTGGATGGAATTTTCGTGGAAACACATCTAAATGATGCCATTTCCTTCTCGATAACTCTCGAACGTGAACTCGATATTTAATTAAGTTTCGTAAAGCAAAATTTTTCTTTTGAAAGATTCATTGAGAAAGAAGCGAGTGTTTGTAGTATCGTAGATAATCACATATTTTGGAACACCGATCACTTTAAGAATATTTATGCAAAATAAAAATTTGTACGATTAAAGAAATCGAGATTCAAATAGAGATTCGTCAAATACATATTATACTTTATAAATATCTTGCATCTCTTTTGAATAATATTATTCTATAGACTTTTTTTACACTTTTACATTTTTCGTAAATGCATAAATATCCACAAAGTATTGATCGCATCGGCATTAATTATTACTACTATTTCTCCGCTTCATTGATTTTCTTCCAAGCATCGTCCAACGTGGCTCGAAAAATATACTCGAAACCGGCAATCATTCGGATGATCACAAGCGAGACCAGGCGTAATGACGGGGCGGAATCATTAAAATCGATCAGATTGGAAACGTAATCGCGATTTCCAACCACGAATCCCTTTCTTGCCAGGCATCGGTCGGCTAAACCATAGAGCAAGGAGAAGCGCACCGTAAACGGGTTCGTGAGGGGACGTTACACGCCGCTCCCAAAGTATATTGCGTGCCCCCTCATTTTTTGACCGATTTGAGGGCCTGCTGCCTACCTGCAACCTGGGCCCACCGACCCCACAAAACACTCTCCATCCCTTTCTCGGCCCTCTTCCTCCCTCTTCACCCCTCCGCCGCATTTATCCGCCTCCCAACTTTTTTCCTTTTCCTTTCATCGCGCAACCTTTTTCCTTCGGAACCGTAATCACGATCGAGATTCGAACAGCGTAATAGATTTAACAGTTTCTTTTGATCCCCTCGCGGTTGCGGGATCGATTCGAAGGGAGGCCGAGGGAAATCTCTTCGACTTGCTCTCTTCTTTCATTCGAAAGAATCATCGATTCGTTTATTTTAAACGAGTTGGAGCAAATGTGATACGATATATATATATATACGAAATATAAGGCGAGTTTAATTTAAAATCTGAGGTATCCTTAACTGGTAATTATGTTAATCATAATCATAAATTTGAAACGGGATTTCGAATGATCGTAGCGAAGTATAATAATTAACATTGTATGGGAAGAATGAATTTACTCGTTATATTTGATTTGAATCGTGGCGATATCGATTAAATACACCACTGGATGGTAAAAAAAAAATGTTTTTGATGGGGTTTAAAGAACAATAATAAGGCAAATTATACGTTTTGCATCGCAAGAAAAACGAATTACTCTTAAGTAGGGGACATCAAGGGTAGATTGGGACACGGAGTGCAGTGATTCCGAAATTGTTGATTGGTAATCTTCGGTGGAACTAATTAAGGCGGCCGACTTGGATCCACCGTCCAAATTGTTTTCTATGCCGGCTTCCCCTCTGTCTCGAATAGATAGCCTTGGGAGATCTTTTTTAACCCGTGGAATGGGTTAATGAAAAAAAAAAGAAGAAGAAGAAGAAGAAGAAAAAGAAAAAGAAAGAATCGACGCGACAAGATATTTTGCGACCTAATGAACCGGCATAACGTCTCTTAACGTAATTATCTTTATGATTTATAATAAACGCGTACTCGTTAGTTCGACATTTTTCTGGGGCCGTTGCAATTTATGGATTCCCGAGAATTTCAACTGGATTTCTTCTGGCCACGCGAGAATCAAACTTAACGAACGAGTTACGAATTAATTAAGAAGATATTAATTTTTTTCGCGAATGCTACATCTTCGAGTAAACAATATTATATCATATAAATGAAAAGAATTTAATTTAAATATAAAATCTATCATTTTTCTTATCATTCATTCAATGGAATCTGAAAATTCCAATTTTTTTTACAAGCTCAAAGTTTGTGGGATAACATAATTCTTCTGTATTATCATATTTTAATATGAAGTTAAAGAATTGAATCGTAGCTAGAAAGAATATTCGAATTTTCTTCGGACCATAAACCAACCAACAAGAGATTCTCTCTAAAAAAAAATCGGATAACAAAGTTAGCTCTAATTCGTTCCCTATACACTTCTTTCGATCCTTCCCTTCGATGTCGAAAAAAATCTCGTCAAATCCAACAGGTCTAATTTGAAGAAACACACCGATATTGTACAACAATACAGGTATTGTTTGCCGAGGATGTAAAACCTCTATTCGTGAGAGAGTTGAAAATCATCTTGGAAAAGAAAGAAGCCGTTTCTTTTTCATCCCTTGGCCGACTTAGCGCCCGGCCAGATCCATAAACTCTCGCAATAAAAACGTAACTTAACACACCACCTCCATCCCGGATATCTTTGAAAATTTTACGCCCTTCTCGTTTAACGAAGCCGTAATCGCTACTTGGAGAGAATTGTCGCGCGCCGCCACTTGGATCGAGTGGTTGGCTCTTCTTGGAGGCGACGTTACAATTTTCCTGTCTCGAGGAGGGGAGGGGCGGGGATCGGCTGCAGGAAATTCGGCGCGATGGGCGACGAGGGCTTCCACATCCCGGGGAGGGGGAGGGGCGCGCGGCCATCTGCGGCGCGCGCGGAGGAATCGGAAAACGCTTTTCGGTGGATCGTCGACATATGGCACGCGGGACCAGACTTATCTCGAGGAAAAAATACGCCTCGAAGGCGCGGCCGTGTCTGCCGAAAATGTTGCGGAGGTGGAGACGAACGAGGCGGCTGAATCCCTGGCCAACCGATGGATTCGAACGTCGTTCTTTCAAACGAGAATTAAGCTTGGGGATACCTGGACCTGGTTTGGATACCGTTTGTCGAAAAATTGTAACGGATGGTTGATTGATTTGCCGCTTTCATCGTAATAAGACACGTGAGATTAATAAAATTTCTCTCAAATTGGTACTCGATTGTTCTTCGTGTAATTGTGTATCAACGAGGGGATATATTATTTGGTATATTTATTTATTTGGTATAGTTAGATATACATAAATATTTATACTATTATGAGTGTAAATAATTGTAAATCTAGAATTAAATGATTGGCATTTCATTAGCATTATTTCCCACGAATGAAGAAGAATATTTTGATAGGATACCCAGGAAACCTATTCATCATTCTCTATAATAGTTTCGAAACACACTTTTGCCCTGTTCCCAGTTAATCGATCAAATCTGGAGTCTCACCCAGCGATTTAAAATTCCACGATTGTTGGCATAGTGTGATCGAAGTAAAACGTAAACATACTCGATCGATTTATTAGATTCTAGCTTGATCTCTACAGCTAAATTATTTAATTCGTTTAAAAAGATATCTTCGATTAATGAAACTATCGATTCAAATTTTCACCCACTTCCACCAAGGGAAAAAAAATGGAAAGAAAGAAAGAAACATGATTTCTACAGATTTTGACGCGTTTCAGGAAGATGGAAAGGATCAGATCGCCGGCGATCTATCATTCGAAAGAGAAGAAGCAGAAGCGTCGGTGTGGGTCAAAGTGGCCGTGAATTTTCGCCATTCGGCCCCTATTCGTCTTGGTTCAGCCATTCTTCCACGCGACCATATGGTCGCCGACGGCGTGGTCCATTATTTTCTACAGGATTCTGGGCATAAAAATGGAAGAGGCGGGGGTAAGGGCAGTTGGCCCTCCACGAAATTGCCCGAAAATTGCCCTCGACATTGGCGTTCCCTTCGTTTTTTTTCCCCGGATAATTTCATAATTTTAATTTGAATTTCAATGCAATGCTCGCGCCAATCACCTGCGAGAATAGCTCCTCCCGACGTTTAGGAATTAACCCTTCACGCTCGAATTTATCTCCCTAAAGATTGTTCTAAAGATTGTTACGTGCTGTCGATTGAGAAAGCATTTATTAAATCGTGTGAGATATAGAAGCTTAATGATCGATCTAACCAAGGATTGCTTTAGTAAAAGACGAAATTTTTCTTTTTAGGACATATTGAAAACGAGAACATAAGATTTTAAATTAAATTATTTGGAAAATTTTATAAACGAAAAATTTATGAACGAAAGAAAACACGAATGATATTTTTTGTAAGCAGTTTCTTGAATTCCATTTATGCTAATGTAAGCTCTTTCGGCTTATGTTCCTCTTATATTATATTTATTTTACGTGGATATTCATTTTTTAAACGATTAAACATACAAAAACTTTATAAAATACATATTTAAAGTTCAAAAGAAAGATACATCCTTTAGATTTCTCGAAGATTTGAAATGGATTCGAAAAGTGTCACGCATACCGTGAAGACTTATCCAATATACGAATATACGTAACATAAATTTTTACGTGAATCCGGATTCTCTTTCAATTCTCAACGTTATTTATGAATTTCTCATAACTTCCATTATCGGTTCCATACGAGGATATAAAACTATTAAGGGGAAGGATGAAATAAGAAAAAAGAGAGAGAGAGAGGAGGAACGTTTGGATCGGAGCCTCAGATACTTACACACAGCAGCACGTTCTCCACATCCTTTCTATTCCATATCTTCTAACTTTCTTTTTTTTTTTTTTTTTTTTACCCGTTTCGCCTCTCGACTTTCCTTCTTCGTCTCTATAAAATATGCTAAATCGCCCGCGGAATCATGGCGCCCGCTCTCTCCCCCAACGCTGTTATTTACGAATTATGAATGTTGTAAGACAGAGCATAATGATCGCGACCAGGCCGGGCCAATTTTCGCCGCTTTAAGCACCGTATCCTTGATGCGAGTCCGGGGCCCCCCTTGTCGGCTTCGAGCGTGCCCTAGGAATTCTTAGGATCGATCGTCATTCGTCCACTCTCGAAATGAGTTACACCATACTCCTTCCCCCCTTCCTATACGCCATTTCTCGATGAAAGGTCACGGTTCTAATTAATTTTTCGTTTCGACCGGAACCCGACCGCATTAACCTCCCCACCTCGTTTTCTTATTTGCATACGTAGTTTTTAAAACTAGTTTTCTAAGTTTCGCTCTATTTTAAGCTTCCTCGCCAATTTTCTCCAAAAATTACTCCGATTAATAATAGAAAGTATAAGTAGAAAGTAGATTAAATAGAATTTG